CTACTTCAGCGATAGATCTTTCTATCTGCTCCTCGTCCCTTTTCTGTCGGTTGTCTTGGTTCGTTGAGAGCACTACATATGGGAGCGACCATTTCCCAATATGGCTTGGGATGAATGCTGGACACCCAGGCAGGAGGCCTTCCTGCTGGAACCTTCGACGTGCTAACTGGCAAAAGTTTACTGATGAGTGCCATATTAGAGTGCAGCCGACCGAGGGCGACAATGCAACGTCTCTTGCACAACAAGTGACATCCACAATTGTCGACACTGCAAGGTCTTGCATTCCCTTGACATCACCTGAGCCGCGCAGGATCCCTGTTCCCTGGTGGTCAGAGGACTGCAAGGCGGCAATTCTCAAGCGGAAGCGGGCGTTCAGGGTTTTTAAGCGTTCTGCAACGACCAACAACCTCATCGCTTTTAAAAAGGCCAGAGAATTTGCGAAATGCACAATACGTGAGGCAAAGCGTACGTCATGGAGGGAATATGTAAATGGTTTAAATCGTCACACCCCACTGAGTGCAGTGTGGCAGCGAGTTAGTCGCATTTCCGGTAGGAGCGTCTCCACTGCAGTTCCGGTGTTGAAAGTGGCGGGAATCACGATATTGAACACACAGGAAGTTTCCAACAAAATAGGTCTCGCATTTGCAGAAAGGTGCCGACATGGAACAGACGACCCACGCTTTATTCGTTACAAGGAACGAAGTGAGAAGACGGCAATCAATTTTAGAATTCCTGACTCAGAGATTTATGAGTACAACCAACCGTTCACTGTCATGGAGCTCTGCACTGCTCTTAAGAGAGCTAAGGGTGTGTCGCCTGGATTGGATGAAGTCCACAACGATATGTTGAATCGCCTAAAGATTCTCTATGCCTTACTCTCACTTTTCAACTACATATGGTTGCAAGATGACTTCCCGGAGTCGTGGCGGGATGCCATTATAGTCCCGATACGGAAGCCCGGAAAGGATGGTTCCGATCCACTGCACTACCGCCCAATTTCGCTGACTTCATCGCTATGCAAAGTGCTAGAGAGGATGGTGAATGATCGTCTCATGTGGTACCTTGAAACCCACGGTTGTCTTTCCAAAGTGCAATGCGGGTTTCGGAAGAACCGATGCACTGTTGACCACTTAACGATCTTAGACACAGCTATACGACATTCCTTTAAACAAAGACGTCACACGGTAGCAGTCTTCTTTGACATTGAGCGGGCTTATGATACCACCTGGCGCTATGGCATTCTAAGCAAAGTACACAAGTGTGGACTCCGAGGTCACATGGCACTCTTCATTGGAAACTTTTTACGTCGTCGATTCTGCCGCGTCCGAGTGGGTGGCATGCTATCTGATTGCTATGAACAAGAGAACGGTGTTCCTCAAGGGAGCGTCCTTAGCGTAACCCTGTTTGCGCTGATGATCGATAATATCGCCGACTGTCTGCCACCTACCATCAGTCGGTCATTGTTTGTGGACGACTTTGCCATCTGGTGTGCGGCATCCACAACGACGTCTGCTGAGAGGCAGCTTCAATTATGCCTGATTCGACTAACTGAGTGGAGCCTTAAGAGTGGCTTCAAATTTTCGACCACCAAGACTAAGTGCATGCACTTCTGCTCACGGATTAGAGGCTGTAGAGACCCGGAGTTGCGACTGTATAATGCCACTATCCCAGTTTGTAGCGACATTTGTTTCCTGGGCCTCACGTTTGACCGTCGGCTCACGTTTAAGCAACACTTTAAGATGGTTAAGACTAAGTGTCTCAAGCGCATGAACCTCATGAAATTAATGTGTCGTATGACCTTTGGAGCCGATAGAAGCACCCTGTTGAACCTGTATAGGGCCCTAATTCGATCAGTCATCGATTATGCTAGTCCTGTCTACGATAGTGCTCCTACATCTTCAAAGCAGGTTTTGGACACAGTCCACCATACATGTGTTCGTATAGCCACTGGGGCGTTTCGTACGACCCGAACAAGAAACTTACTGGTGGAAGCGAATGAACCGCCCTTGCCTCTTAGGAGACAACGACTTACTTTGAATTACGCTATAAAGGTTTCACAATTTCCGGATCACCCAGCCTTTAAGTTCATCTTCTCTCGGACGTTAATCCGTTCTTTCTTGAGGGGGCGGCCCACGTCATCGCGGCCGATGTGCCTGCGCGTCCGGGACTGGCTAGACGAGTCGCTTATTACGCTGGATAACATTGCCCCGCACACTCTTCGGGACCCAGCTCCGTGGAGACGTCTGAATATTAAGTATGATTTGGAACTCTGTCAGCATCTTAAAAATGGCACTTCACCACGAGAGTTCCTCACGTATTCGTTGGAACAGATCTCACAATACGCGAACTCATTACAAATATTTACCGATGGCTCCAAGGGCTCAACGGGAACGGGTTGCGCATTTGTTTGCGGTGACCATACCGTAGGTCTATGCCTCCCGCGGCACCTGTCAGTTTTTTCCTCAGAACTGTTTGCCATTTTAGCAGCGCTTCAGTACGTTGCTTGTCGTCCTGAAAGGGATATAGTCATTTTGACCGACTCGCGTAGTGCACTTTTATCATTAGATCCGACGGCGATGTCGCGTGACCACTCATTTTTGACTCGCTCAATTTGGGAGGAATTGGAATGGCTGGACAGCACTTCCTGTCGTATCACATTTATGTGGATCCCCAGCCACATGGGAATAATGGGGAATGAAAAAGCCGACGCCGCAGCGAAAGCTGCGGCATGTGAGAGAAACCCAATACCAATTTATGTACCCGCTCGAGATCTGAAGACAGTCATTTCCAAATACGTTCGCAATACATGGCAGCACATGTTCGACCAACATCTCCACGCTTTCAGGGAAATCAAGCCCCAACTGGGTGATTGGGAATCCTCCCATCGCCGAAGCCGCTTCCAGGAAGTCGCCCTTTGTAGGCTTCGGTTGGGTCATACATACGCCACACACTCGTTTTACTTGACGCGTAGGGATGTGCCACGGTGTGATAGATGCGGGGACCGGTTGTCTGTTGAACATGTGCTCGTCTCATGTCGGCGCCTTGAGACGGAGAGGCGACGATTTTTTCCTCCAGCGCCCCTTCATCGGTTACTCGGTCGAGACCCATGTGGTGAACTTGGAGATATACTCGCATTTTTAGCACACATTGACTTGGACGTTATTTTCAGTCACCCCTCAGTGTAAGTGCGCCAGTGATGCTACCTGTTGTCAGTTGACAACATACTTATCGCGTCGTCGCAGAGGTAGATAACCGTCATCGAGTGGGCGCAAAATGGCCCCGATGCCGACGCGCCCTTAAAACACAAATCACCACCACCACCACCACGTCGGGCGTAGGGATAATTCAAACAATATTCGCGTGGTGCAGTCTCGTCTTCTTTGTTACTATGCCTCGTTTTTCCTAAACGATCCAGCATTGAAACTTGGTGGATCCAGTTGCGATATCTGAGTGTAATCCCGCAGAACAGTTTAACAATATATTTAGTCTGTCATGGAAGTAAAAATAAGGTCATTCTTATGTTTGTTATTATGGTGTCATTGAATGCTCAGTATGCGTGGTGTATATTTTCTGGATTTTGTTGCATACTCAAGGTTGTTTATGTTGTGCATTGTTATTACTGCACAAAATTTTGAAGCGTAGGTTTGCGATGATATTGACAATCTAGCTGTTTGTGGAGTAGTTTGTACTGTGATTACATTCACAACCAGGCCCTGCTTCAGTGTTTTTAATGTAAGAAGCGGATACAGAGTACAGATTGTTTGGGGGGGGGGGATGATTAACACGCGCTCGGGTGGCCGGCTAGATACCCTTCGCTCGGGTGGGGAGGGTCAATGTGACCCCCTGAGATCTCGGAACTAAGAAAGCTAGATACACCAAATTTACAGAGCGTGTTGACCTGTACGTGAATTCACTAAGGTCAAAGTTTTAGGTTCCTAGGTCATGACCTTCGGATCGAAAAAGTAAAACAAGGTCAAGTTCTAGGTTAGTCTCCAAAGTGCCCCAGAACCTAGATAACAATTTCTACACAAAAGGCCACATGCTCATTTAAGGTCAGTGACCTTGTTTGACCTTTTGAAGGTCAAGATGACGAAAATAATGCAAGATTGCTTTCAGTTTTGCATTTGACTAAGCGACAAAGATTACGCTAGGCAGTATGTTCCTAAAACAAAATGTTGACCTGCGTCATTTTAGGTCAATGACCTATTCTGACCTCTAAGATGTCCATGGATAGGGAATAATGCGGTTTCTGCTATCAATAAATTCGAAATGGGCACCAGAAATCATCCCATACAGCAAGCCCTGGAGTAACAACCCAGGTCAGTTTTGACCTTGGCGCGACCTACATACCTGACCTGAGGTCAATTAAATTTGCTCATTCAACTGTTGTGTTGCCTAAGAAAGCACCCCAGAGAGGTATGGTTTCGTCTAACACTCTGTTGTTGGATCATATTGAAGGATTCCCTAGAAATTGCCTTCGCTGAAACCATGGCCTGATTTTGACCTGCCATGGGTCAGCGACATTACAGGTTACATGTAAAATTTGTATGCCAAACGATGCGCTATTCAATTGTTTACAGCTATGCAAAATTTGGCGCAGCTGCACCACGCCGTTCGGAAACGGACGACACAAGGTAGAGCATAAACTAAACCAGAATTACCCCTGGAATTTGCGTGCTTTACTCTGGAAGCATAAAACGTGGTGACTAATTTGTGAATGAATTGTGTGATATGATTGAGTTGCCAAAGTGGCAGAAACCTAGGACCCAGTTCATTGTGAGCTCTCAGCCCAAATACGGTGGTGAAAGCACACACGTCCAGGCTCCTACGCCATTAGCGCTTCGTCCTCCGCTCTTTGGGCGCTCCAATGGTTGCTGGGCAATCAAACAGTATGTTTATTGTTGTCAACGTTTGCTGGGTATGGCGGTTCTCCGCCTGTATGGCGTGCCCAGTCGTGTTCTGTTCAGAAAATGCTGGCCAGCCCAGACAAAAATTTCCCGTGAAAGCTATGTTTTTTATTGAAGTCCTCACAAATCACACGCACGCGAAATTCTCACCATGACACTAGCGTTCCGCACGAGTGGGCAATACTTTTTTCGCTCCTCCATTTCGCCACTCACCCAGCCGGCCTAAGATGGCGGCAAAGCCTCATGTGGAGGGCGTTTGGATCGTGCCGAGTCGGCCTCAACTGGCGCGTTTCAGCGTCGAACCTGCGCTGTCTGGGTGGGGGACTACTTCTGGGTTGGGTCGTGGATGTACGCGGTGAAGATGGGCACGCCCAGCTCGACGTGCACCAGCGAGCAGACGAACGGCTGGTCGAAGCGCGCCTGGAACGGCTGCGGTTTGGCGCTGAGCGGCACGAGCCCGACGGCGGCGGCGCCGGCCGCCTCCGTGCCGTGCTGGTCACTCGAGATGACCGCCTTGTGGACCAGCTGGTTGACGCGCAGCTGGTCGTCAGCCCCCATGCCGCCAATGAACATCTCGCCGACGCCCATCTGTTGTGCTAGGTCGATGTACGAACGTTTTTTGGAAGTGATGCTGAAGCTGGGCAGTGTGACGGCCGTGTAGGTTGTGGGGCGCGCGCCCGCCAGCGCCTGGTAGTGTCGCTGACGCAGCTTGTCCTGCACCGGTGAGCCGTCGGTCGTGGTGAACAGGAACATGCGGATGGCTTCGTTGCGGTACGGCAGTGACACGCCGATCACGCCGTCTGTCGACCCGTCCAGCAGCGGCAGCGTTTCGCGCGTGAAGAGCATCTCCGTGTTGACGGGGCCGGCGTCCGTGCGGAACACGCCAGGCTGGGTGCCCAGCCGCGACTGCCACTTGTCGCTGAATACCAGCGCCGACGCGAAGATGAGGCTGGTGTCGGCCGCCAGGCTGGTGAAAAGCTGTTGGATCTTACCGTTGGTGGCGCGCTCCACCTGGCTGTTGATAAGCCGAACCGTCTCTGGCTTCGCGAAGTCAACTGCCGAGCCGCGGCCGCGCACAAAGTCGAGGATACTCTTGCAGCGCGCCTGCTGCCTCGTGCCAGCCGTCCCATCGCAGGCGGCGAAGGCGCCAGGCCGGTAGTAACCCATCAGCGTACCGTTGAGTGTAGGCTCGGCGTCGGCGGCGGCCAGGAGCGCGTCGCTCAGCTCGGCCGGCGCCGGCGACTGGAGCGCCTCCTTGATTTCACCGCGCACCTTGGCGTTGCCCAGCCGATAGGCGGCCGTCAGTACTTGCAGCAGGCAGAAGGTGCACACCACCTCGTTCCGGCCACTGAACACGCTGGTGACGACACGCTGGTTGAGCGCATGCAACGCCGGGTTGGCGTCGACCAGTGCACGCCGCGCTGCCGGATCCGCTTGCGGCCCCCGATCCGACTGGGGGCCCGGATGGGTGTCGGACGCAGGCAACGGGTGCGGACTGGAGGGAGGCGCTCCTCCGAGCCCTCCGGCGGACGCGAGAGGCTTACTCTGGCCAGACGACGGCAGTCGGCCCGTGTTGGTGGCAACCTTTGCTGGGCTGGTCGGGCCGCTTGCAGGGAACTGTCCCGGCCGGCCATCGGAGCCGCCAGGAGCCGCCGGAGCCGCCGAGGACGCCAGTAGATCCCGTGCTGCCGAGGTCGCCGGTAGCCGGCGGTAGGGAAGATGAAGATTCCTCGAAACGGCCTGGGATTGGTCGCGGGGCCGTGGGCGAGCGAAAGATGATCACGTCCATCGCGTGGCTGTTCGAGGGCGGACCGGGTTGCAGTACCCAGAACGGCTGCGGGAATGACGGGGGGAGTCGGTTTAGCACGACCGGTGGGTCCATCCCTGCAGCTCCCGCCAGGAGGCAGGCGGCGGTCAGCAGTAAGCCGCGCTCCATGGTGCCGGACCGGCGCTGGTCGGCACTGCTGCGACGCGGTCGTCCGACTGAGGTCCTGGACACGTGCGGCAGCAGTCAGCGGCCACTCGGTGCTCCGCTACTCTTGAACTGGCCGGCCGGCGTCCCTCACCCGCCGGCCCGCGCCCGGCAGTGACGCACGGCGCGTCCAGCGGACAGACGCGAGCCCAGGCGCGGTCGTGCGCGAGCCGCTCGAAACTCGCGGTCCGCCAGTCTTGTGCCCGTCTGACTCGCTGGCCCTAGCGGTGCCAGTCTGCCGGTATTCAGAGCGGCCCGGCCCCGTGACGGGCCCTAGCGCCGACCCTGTGACGGGCCCTGGCACCGAGTCTGTGACGTGCCCTGGCGCCGCCCTTGCGTGATGGCTCCGGATTAAACCGGACGGATTGGAAATCCCGCCCGGGTGGAAGTTCCCCGCGGTGTTTGGCCGCGACGGCACGGTAGCACGAGTTGGGCGATGGTGCTGAAAGGTGTTGAGGCCAGGCATACCATTCTTATACACAATGGCCAGAAACCATTAAGCTTTCTCGCCGTGTGCTGTCGTTGCCTGGTGCAATATCTAGTTGCCCACGTTCACGTGGGTCACGTGTGCCCAGGCGACCTGTTGACCTCACCTGGACAGAACGTTCCCTATGCCGTCATCTCATCATCGGCGCCAAGCTACCCCAGTCGCCGATGCTTCCCGAGCACTTGACAGCTGTCTGCTATTTACATGACTGCGTGAAACGAATCCCCGCAGGGGCACCGGCTTCGGCCGGTGTAGGGGACTAGCGCCCCCTCGAGTCCCAGCTCCGGTGACGGGTGGACAGCGCAAGCTGTTCCTCTCAGGGCGTAGCGACCCTGCCGGTACGTGAGATCCTGCCCCTTGTCCCGCCCGTTCCCTCCACATTATCCGCACTGCCGCATCCGGTCCTATCACCACTCTCATCCTCGTTTTATCGGGGTCGCCGTGCCCCCCCCCCCCCCCCCGCCCACGTCCCCGGGTTGATCAGATCCTGGTGGCTGAGGGGCGCGCCGTGCGGGTCAGTCACGGCGCGTCCCAACACTCCACTTTGGCCAGGATATCCGGGGGCGTGGGGGCCCCGTGGGGTCCCACACGGGTCTAGCAGCTTGTCGTTCGCGTTGCGGTTGGGTGCTTCCTCGCGGGTTTCCGCTTGGGGCGTCTGGCCGCGCGCAGCGGCTTAAGGGGTCAACGGGCGGCGGCGCTGAACCACGGTCAGGACGGGGAGGGGCTTCCCCGGTTACACCTGGCCGTGCAGGAGGCGTCATTCGCCCCGTTTAGCACCGGGGTAGCCCTGGCTGTGACCACCTCCCGAGGGAGAGTTGGGCCGTACCCCAGTTGGACTCCGAGATGGGTGGGAAGCCCCGATGCCGAAATGAAAACCACCCTTTATGGCATCTTCTCACCTTAAAAACACCCGTCCTCCGAAAGGGGAACGGACCTCGATAACCCCAGTGTGCAGAGAAGAATCTGCGCCCCCCGGTCCCCGGATCCTGATCTTCGGTAGTGGAGAGATTAAGCTGGCTTCCCTCATCATATGCGACAAGCTCGGGGATGGCAAAATAGAAGTAGAGTTCGCTAGTGGTCTGGAGGTGAGTAGGGCCATGGTAGCTAAGGATTTACGTATAGTGTTCGGGATGAGACTGGAAAGCATGAAAAAACCGCGTCAATATCAGTAATACCACATGAGACCAAAAATTCGTCCAGGGGGTAGTCACTTGTTTTGGTCTTCGTGACGTCGCGGAGGACGAGATAGTCGAAGAACTCCCAGAGTTTAGTGTGACGAACGCTCGCAGTATTCTCGTCGGACGGGGAGGAGAGCTGTTGCCCACCAACAACCTCATTCTGACGTTTAGCGCCACCGATTTGCCGGCCGAGATACGGGTGGGATACGCTCGAGTGAAGGTTCGCCCTTATGTGCCTAACCCATGCGGCGCTACCAATGCCAGCGATTCGGCCATACCAAGCTCCACTGTCGTAACCGCCCAGCATGTGGTAAATGTGCGTCTTTCGAGCACACGGGCGATGTTTGCACCTCTGCTGAACCCCACTGCGTCAACTACGGCAAGGACCAAATCCCACACACGACGTACGACCGTACATGCCCGGCTTACGCGAAAGAAAAAGAGATTATATCAATAAAAGCCTCTAAAAACGCCTCTTTTCGTGAAGCTCGTGAACTTTACGACAGCCATTCAAAAAATCGTATGCGTCCAAAGTGTAAACTTCGTTGCCACGAAGTAATGCCATCCAGCACATGACGGCAGTTCAGTTCAGTTCAGTTCAGTTCAGTTCAGTAGTCAAGAGGACGAACACGGCGTGGCCCAGCCCGCAAGGTCGACTATTAGAGAAAAGTAAGTTGGGTTAATTCGAGAAAAATGGATCTGCCATGCACTTGATTGATTAAAATCACATTACGATTGAAATCGTGCAAGACCCCTGGCTACTGCAGGAAACAAGACAGAAATGGAAGGTGGATTTTCGTGGGATATCAGACAACCTGGTATAAACTCTGTATTGTTTGGTGTTGCTATGCAGTGATCGTGTCGCAATTGATAAGCATGCTGCTAAACTTTTTGTTGTCATGTGTTGATATGCTGCACATAATTGAAGGCTCAGAAATGTAATGCAATGTTCCCACGCCATTAAGCTTCTTCAACCAGAAACGAATTTTACACTGCGATGTGGTGGTGCTTGAAAAATTGGGGTGCCAACAACTAAGATATGATTAACAATACAATGAGCATTGTTTGTGTCTGGTGGTAATGCTAAATTACATATATCCAAGAAGACGGGAGGCCAGATATATGATGTCAGTTCTCAACCATTGATTACACCTAAATGAATTTGTTTCGATGTCAATGAATGAGCAAAAGTAAATGCGCTGATATGTTCCACATTTGCTATTGATGTTTAGTAACCGAAAAATGCGTGAGTAGTTTGGCAGAGATTGACTAATTTGTGGTGAGCCGGCCCAGGTTGGATAGGATTTAGAACTGAAAAGGGATCGGTGAGCGGTTTGGACTTTCGACTCACCGAATGGTCTGAAGATGACTCCTCAGATTCGATCCGCGGCGAGTTCTGCTGCTTGCCACTGGCGCGGTCCGCCAGTCACGGACCCGACCGACTCGCTGGCCCTAGCGGTGCCAGTCTGCCGCTGATTAGAGCGGTCCGACGCTGTGACGAGTCCGCTATAAATAGCTATAAATCCGCTATAAGTCTGCTTTGAGAGCTATAAACCATATAGCAAGCGCACGTAACGTTTTGTGGAGAGGCAGTGCGACGCGGAAGTCTCCGCTGCGCCAGGCTGGCCTGCGAATATCCATGGAGGGGATGTAACTTTGTATTTGGTTTTATATGATGGTAGACACAAATCAGGCAGTTTTGTGAACTCTCACGTAGCCTGAACATTGCGTCATTCCATAAGGTGTCTGCCAAGCTATTCTTCGATACAGTCCGTATCATGCGGAGAAGGATGAAGTGCAGATAAATGTGGCGTATGAAACGCTGCGATACACAGAAAAAAACAATCGTTACGTCTGATCGATGCCACGCATGCTTTTGTTAGTGATTATGACATGCGCGAATACAAGCAGTCTGTGTGCTGTCATATAGTTAAGTGATATTTGGCCTATAAAGGAAACGAACCAAACCGATATGAGAACGTTGTCCTCGTTGACTAGAGCTTTTGCGATGTAGGCACCAACGCGAACGCAACAGCACGGAACCAATGGACGTACCCAATGTCAATATAGACGCCGGCTACCCCGATACCTGCCAGGTTGACGTTCGAGTCTGCGTTATCGCTATTTCCGTGAAAAGTTTGTGATTTCGTCCACGAAAGTAGGACTTAGCCAGTCATTTCTACCCGCACGTTGTCTGCAAGTCAACGCGCGAAAGCTGCATTTCTGCATCCCCACCTGTTTGATTTTCACGAACGTTGGATTTTCCAATGTAGTGATCAAACCTGCTGTTGTCGCTTGCCGAAGGTGCGTCCTGCCCTTGACGTGGCTTTGGTTGTTATCTTCGTGATGGCACCCGGACAGCTGCGTCATTCGTTTTGCATTCGCTCGTCGCACGTCGCACAAGACGTCGCATGAGCGTACTTTTGACGTCTCGGGTTGACAGAATCACCTAGCCCAGCGATTCGTTTGATAAACCCCACTAGTCCGTTTGAGACTGTTTGCGGTGCCATCACTGCAGAACGTTCTTAGATCTCAGGCAGGGTGGACTTGTGTTCTCGCCATTGGGAGTCCGAAGGCTGTACATAAGTAGAGTTCATCTTGCAGATTTATCCAAAATATTTTACCGTTGTGCATAACATGTCACGCGATGCACCAGATCGATCAAAATGTTGGGGTTAAAATTGTAATTGTCCCAGCCCTTGTGTTCTTTTGGTTGACTGGCTATCTGCTGTGTGTGCGGGCGTGTGATTCTTTGGTTGGCTGGGTATCCGCTGTGTCCGGGAGTGGGACTGGGTAGCGGCTATGTGCGGGCAGGTAGCTGGGTAACCGCTGTTTCCGGCCATTTAACCGTGTAAGTGTGGTGTCCGTGCGCATGACTGGGTAGTCCGATGTCCGTGGGTGTGACTGGGTAGCCCTGTGTCCGGGGGCGGGACTGAGTGCCGCTATGTCCAGGAGTATGACGGGGGTCGGGGTGGCCACTGTATCCGGGCGGGTGGCTGGCTACCCGCTATATCCGGGCATGCGACTGCGCAAAACGTTGTATTTTGGCGCGTAACGGAGGTAATCACTGTATGGGGCGTGTCACTAATTACGCGGCTGTTTTCCGACCTGCAAGTGAGCAGGCTGCTGTGTCCGGACGCGTGACTGAGTATGCTGTTGTGTCTTGACGCGTGGCTGCGTAAGCTGCCGTGCCCGGGCGTAGAACTGCGTACACCGTTGTGTTCTCGGGATTAACTGAGGAAGCCGTATTGTCCGGGCTGTTCCAGTCCATCATTACGCGTAGCCTGAGGTGCCGCTCAGGGGGTCCGCCTGGCATTCGGTGGCGGCGGACGTCTGCTGGCTGCGGCTGGGAACGGAAAAGGTCGCGACGTACTCTGCGGCCGACGGCGGTGCATTTACTCGGCCGCTGAGGTTTGCTGCTGCGCTGCTGGCTGGACGGCCGCACGCTGAGTGTGCGGCAGCACGGTACTCGGTCCGTGTGAGGCATATCGTCGTTGGTCTGGCATGATGCAGCCAGCATGCAGCCGCGCGCATCACTCGATAGGAAGCTCAGGTAGGCCCTAACGTCACCTCGTGGGGAGGCGAGGGCCATAAGACGTCGGTAATTTCTGGCCAGTGGAACGTCGATGACGTGTGTTCGATGGCCCCTGATAAACGCTGCTTGATTAGTTATGCTTCCATTGCCGTGATCGGTTGGACGCTGATGCCCGTGGTGGAGGGGGGGGGGGGGGGGGGGGGCAGTCTTGGATGGGGCTTGCCCCAAAGACTTTATCGTAGTGTATTATAGGTTATTAACTGAGAGCTTGCAATAAGCGAGAGCAATGGACGTTATTCTCTGCGCGTTGCTAAAAGAATGTACCGCCGCCCTGCTTCCCTCCCTCATGGCGACATCGTGGCATCTCGGCATTAGTCGGCTCCACTGCAACCACACTACTGTATTTATCAACGGAGATCTCTTGCAGAGGGTCGCAGTTTTGCCCTCCACACACGTCTCCCTTTAATGTGATGTTTAATTACCATCGTCTCCCACAACTCCCTCTGTGTTGGTTGAGGAGCACCGTCCACTCGCATTAGTCGCAACAACACGCCAGGGCGGCTCGGCTACTTCTGGGTTGGGTCGTGGATGTACGCGGTGAAGATGGGCACGCCCAGCTCGACGTGCACCAGCGAGCAGACGAACGGCTGGTCGAAGCGCGCCGGGAACGGCTTCGGGGGTAAACTAGTTGGTACGAGCCCGATCCCGGCGGCGCCGGCCGCCTCCGTACCGTGCCGGTCACTCGAGATGACCGCCTTATGGACCAGCTGGTCGACGAGCAGCCGGTCGTCAGCACCCAAGCCGCGGACGAACATCTCGCGAATGCCCATTTGTTGTGCCAGGTCAATGTACGAGTATTTTTTGGAGTCGATGTTGAAGCTGGGCAACGTGACGGCCGTGTAGGTGATGTTGTGCTCACCGACCAGCGCCTGGTAGTGTCGCTGACGCAGCTTGTCCTGTACCGGTGAGCCGTCGGTCGTGGTGAACAGGAACATGCGGATGGCGTCGTTGCGGTACGACAGTGACACGCCGATCACGCCGTCTGTCGACCCGTCCAGCAGCGGCAGCCAAGTTTCTTTGTAGAGCATCTCGGTGTTGACGGGACCGGCGTCCGTGCGGAACACGCCAGGCTGGGCTTCCAGCTGCCTCCCCCACTTGTCGCGGAATACCAGCGCCGACGCGAAGATGAGGCTGGTATCGGCCGCCAGGCTCGTGAAGAGCTGTCGGATCTTACCGTTGGTGGCGCGCTCCACCTGGCTGTTGATAAGCCGAACCGTCTCTGGCTTCGCGAAGTCAACTGCCGATCCGCGGCCGCGCACAAAGTCGAGGATACTCTTGCAGCGCGCCTGCTGCCTCGTGCCAGCCGTCCCATCGCAGGCGGCGAAGGTGGCAGGCCGGTAGTAACCCATCAGCGTACCGTTGAGTGTAGGCTCGGCGTCGGCGGCGGCCAGGAGCGCGTCGCTCAGCTCGGCCGGCGCCGGCGACTGGAGCGCCTCCTTGATTTCACCGCGCACCTTGGCGTTGCCCAGCCGATAGGCGGCCGTCAGTACTTGCAGCAGGCAGAAGGTGCACACCACCTCGTTCCGGCCACTGAACACGCGGGTGACGACGCGCTCGTTTAGCACGTATGCCGCCGGGTTGGTGTCGACCAGCGCGCCCGGGCGGGTCGTCTGATATTGCTGGCTCTGCGCGGCGGCTCCTGCCAGCAGACAGGCGGCGGTGAGCAGCAGACGACGCTTCATGGCGACGGACTGACGCCGGGCGGCCGCTCCTCCGCTTTTCTACTGGTCGGCGGGCCGACTGACCGCAGCTGCAGATGAAGGGTCTGATAATGATTAACGGCGGCGGCCGGCGGGCAGACGCGAGCTCAGGCTTAGCAATTTCGCACGCTGGTGGCTAGGGACAATTCACGGATTAGCTGAACCCAAGCATTGGTATTTATGTATTTACAATTACTACACAATTACAACTACAAGTACAATTAATGTTTTGACTTACTTTTGGCCATGCAACAAGGTCGACTATTAGAGAAAAGGAACTTGTGTTTATTCTAGATAAATTGAACTGCCATGCACTTGATTATTTAAGATCACACCACGGTTGAAATTGTGCAAGACTCCTGGGTACTGCAGGAAACAAGACAGAAATGGAAGGCGGTTTTTCATGGAATATCAGACAGCCTGGCATAAACTCTGTATTGTTTGGTGTTGCTATGCAGCGATCGTGTCACAATTGATAAGCATGTTGCTTAAGTTTTTGTTGTCATGTGTGTTATGTTGCACACAATTGAAGGCTCAGAAATGTAATGCAATGTTCCCACGCCATTAAGCTTCTTCAACCAGAAACGAATCTTACACTGCGATGTGGTGGTACTTGAGAAATTTGGGTGGCAACAACTAAGATATGATAAACAATACAATGAGTCGTGTTTGTGTCTGATGGTAATGCTAAATTACATATATCCAAGAAGACAGGAGGCCAGATATGCTCCGCCGGCGGGTCACGAGCACCCGCGCCGCCATAGTGCGCCATCGGGAGCTGCTCTCTGCCGGGAGTGCCAATGCTAGCCGGTAGATGGCGTCCATGTCTCCCGGCGAGCAACCTCCCGTGGTCCCGCGGAGTGGCGGACGGCCTCTCGAAACACAGAGGGATGGGCGCACCTCGTCCGGCCTGCTTCGCATCGTTCTCCTCCCCCGCACCGTACCTCCAGTGTCCGTAACGAGTTCCTCCAGGACGTAAGTGATCTTTGCCAACCAAACATGGGCGCCGCGCAAAGATCAATCAGTAAATCAAGCTGGACAAAAAGAAACAGGAAAAGGGGAGAGAGCACGCGCTCATTAGAGAAATCTGCGCGTGTGCTCGGGACGGGGCACAGACTGAGTTAGTTCGCTTCTGAATTATCAAAAAGGAGGCTAACGAATAAACAAAAACAATCAAATTCGTACAGACCTCATGCAAAATAAATTAATAAATCGAGCCGGACAAAGCAACACAGAAGAAAGCATGATCATGAGGAAATCCATCTATGCACGAGGAAATCCTTCTATGCGCGGTAGACGGGGTTCAGTGGCAACTCGTTCAATCCGAGCTATCGGGAAGAGTCAAGGAAACAGGAAACAGACAAACCGTCGAGCTGGCAGACCAGACCAACGGCCTAGCCAAAGAAATCTTTCGTGAGTATGGGTACATGGCCCGTACGCCACGCCTGGCCGCGACGCGGGGCCGGCGAGGGCCGTGATGAGTCTGTGGAGGTTCTGCCAGACTGGCCGGAGCAGGTGGTGCCGCAGTGCCGCGAGCCGCAGGCCCCACGCGCTGCGTCGGACGCAGACTAGCCGGAGCAGGTGGTGCCGCAGCGTCGCGAGCCGTAGGCCCCACGCGCTGCGTCGGACGCAGACTGGCCGGAACAGGTGGTGCCGCAGTGCCGCGAGCCGTAGGCCCCACGCGCTGCGTCGGACGCAGACTAGCCGGAGCAGGTGGTGCCGCAGCGTCGCGAGCCGTAGGCCCCACGCGCTGCGTCGGACGCAGACTGGCCGGAACAGGTGGTGCCGCAGCGCCGCGAGCCGTAGGCCCCACGCGCTGCGTCGGACGCAGACTAGCCGGAACAGGTGGTGCCGCAGCGCCGCGAGCCGTAGGCCCCACGCGCTGCGTCCGACGCAGACGCCCTCCGGCCCTCCCAATCAGATCGTCTGTAGTCTCGCCTTGTCCCAAACAATTTTTACGCAGCGCGTCACCTGTACTTTCAAAGCCCTAACGCATATTGTCCCCACACCCGATATGCATTTCCAGCAACATGTTTTCGCTGTGACACTTCGGCAACGCCCCGTGGGTACGGTGAGTGCCCTCCCCCTCTTCCCAGGTAAACAGGAGGGAAGGGGTTGTGGCGGCTCGCGCCCACCCGGTGGGAGCCGCCCTGGACTGTTTCAAGCACACAGACGTCCACGGCCCGGTCGGGACGGGGACAGCAGCCCTGGTGCTCGCATTGTGCATGTTCCCGCCGGCGCCCCGCTGCCCACGGAGCCAGAGATCATGGCTAGATGACCAGCGTTGGAGTTGTCTTATGCCGATGCACCCTGTGTTTTTTTTTTGTCTCGGATACCTCTTTTTCGGCCTTTTGCACGACGTGTTATGTGTCGTGATTTCTCGTAACTGGGTCAGCCGCCCTTGTTTTTCCGCATGGTCCAATGGTGGGGCCCGAATGTCTCCTTCACCTAATACGGTGCCAGCCCAGCGCATGCTAATTCCACAGATCGGCCCTTTCCACTTTGCTGTCGGCGGGTCCTGTGCGACACCCTCTGACCCAGTTACACATGGCGCCGACACGACGGCGATCTGGAGAGGAGGGGCGAGGCAGCCATGCTGTTTTTTCTCTTCCCGACGGTCAAACATCGTGCGCCCATCAGTCTTGTCTGGCCGACCGCTGGCAGATGTGCCCCTTCGGGGTGGCGGTCTCAAATGGAAAAATAGGGCGCTGCGGTGTGAAGTTGTGGAATACTTGCCGTTAACCGCGCCTGGTCAGGTTTTGCGCGCCGTTGGTGCTTGGGAACGTTGGTAAGCAGTAGCTGGATATGATAAGCAATGCCATGGGACTTGTTTGTACCTGATGTTTATGCAAACTGACACACCCGAGAAGGCAACAGGTCGAATTGAGTATGCTAGCGCTCGCCCATTGGCGACATCTAAGTGGATTTTTCTCGAGGCAAATTAAGAAATAAGGAAAATTAAAAGCGCCAGTAGGTATCGCTTTTGCCATTTGTTTTAAGAATGCAACATTGGGGAGCGGTTTGGCACAGATTCCTGGGGTTAGCTTTTCTGGTAAGCTGGGCCGGATTCGACTAGACTCAGACTTTTGTAAAAGGGTAAGTAGGACGCACTCTGGCTGCCCCAGTCACCGACGCTTCCCGAGCACTGGACAGTTATCTGTTGCTTACATTAGTGCGTGGAATTAAGGAAGGCTACCTTTGTCTGGTCCGAAAAATACTTATGCCCTGTGCTTCCGTTTTATTGTTAACATCCACGGATGTTCTGCATTAACGGCAGTAGCCGAATTAGCTCGACCAAATGAAGGCAATAAGTGGGGCAGACGCAAACTCAAGTGGGCAACGAACTGACTAATGCTGGACTTTTCCACAAGAGAGAGAGAGAGAGAGAGAGGGAGAGAAGAGAGAGAGAGAGAGAGAGAGAGAGAGAGAGAGAGAGAGAGAGAGAGAGAGAGAGAGAGAGAGAGAGAGAGAGAGAGAGGAGAGAGAGAGAGAGAGAGAGAGAGAGAGAGAGAGAGAGAGAGAGAGAGAGAGAGAGAGAGAGAGAGAGAGAGAGAGAGAGAGAGAGAGAGAAGAGAGAGAGAGAGAGAGAGAGAGAGAGAGAGAGAGAGAGAGAGAGAGAGAGAGAGAGAGAGAGAGAGAGAGAGAGAGAGAGAGAGAGAGAGAGAGAGAGAGAGAGAGAGAGAGAGAGAGAGAGAGAGAGAGAGAGAGAGAGAGAGAGAAGAGAGAGAGAGAGAGAGAGAGAGAGAGAGAGAGAGAGAGAGAGAGAGAGAGAGAGAGAGAGAGAGAGAGAGAGAGAGAGAGAGAGAGAGAGAGAGAGAGAGAGAGAGAGAGAGAGAGAGAGAGAGAGAGAGAGAGAGAGAGAGAGAGAGAGAGAGAGAGAGCACCCAACCAATGAGATGCACGCACAGCCTGGCAAACCCCCTGCTCGGGATTGCGCTGGGTTTTGCGATCAACAGGCAATCGCAAGACGTGGACAAATGCGAAGATTTTCAGCAAATGCTGGGATGCAAACGCCATTCTTGTAGATTTACTCCTACGTTCTACATATATATATATATATATATATATATATATATATATATATATATATATATATATCTATATCTATATCTATATATCTATATATCTATATATATGTATATGTATATGTATACGCTTGATTAAAAATGACTGCTGACTCAGCATTGACGAGCTTTTTGACACATCAACGTTTCAAACGTTTGATTTAAAGATGTTCGCGCAAAATTACTCATATATTCGTCGCTCCTTACGTTCTAGCGTTTCGATATCCTATCTCATCGTCGGAGAAGACTAAATGGTGCAATAAATAAGTTTGTTTTTTTAGAGGATAAAAATTGTGCACTATTATTGGAAAACATCTTTTGGTACGGAGGACACAAATGAATCAGGACTAACTGAAGTGAGACAGAGTCCCATTTTCGCTTTGATACATATAAGACACTCATAATGGGAACACTACAAAGACACAATGAGAACACTATTGCCGCAACCACATCAATAGTGCTCACCGCCCACCACCTAATAGTTCAAGAGTTGTGCAAGAATTTGTTTGTCTGTTTAGGGGCCAGAGAGAGTTCGTTAATGAATATGCTTTCCCAAATTTGAAGGCGTCTTCTGTCATTGCACGTCCGTAAAATGTCAGTGTTTTGTGTCGGTTATTGTCGTGTCAAGGTCATGTAGGGTTCAGGCCGTCTGTGGTCCAGAGGTGCCCCGTCACGTAAGTGCATTGTCAGGCGTCGTGAGAGTGTCGTGGTTACACTTATGTAATGTATGGAGCAAAGTTTGCAACCTTCGATGTTGCATTCGAATTGATACACTACATCGGTGCATTTAAGTTTGGTCGAGTTTGTCTGGACTGTTTCTCATAAGAAAGTTATGTATCTTATTACGATTGTAAATGGCGATGTCTATTGTAGTCGTCATTTAGTGCTTTTGACATCGTCGTTTGCTATCGTAATAGGAAGATATCTAGCTTGCTTATGAGA